CCTCTGCTCACGTGTTGGAGATTCCTTCGGGTATTTTATCATTCGACCATGTTTGGAACGAATGCTGAGTTGTCCCTTGGATTGAGAGTGGTCGATCCAACGACCATCTATAATCGACCAATTGTCCGCTCGACCAAGGCTTTGTGAAACAAGTGCTTCCCTAGCGGTCCTCGATATATGCGATCTCGGACCCTAGTCTTCGTCGTCCAGTGACCATTATGCTCGACCAGCCCGACAAACCTCTTTCGCCCGGTTGACCCGGTGAATCGGTCTAATGTATATAATATCTTATATCATAATTATTAATACATCAAACTCTATTATTGAGAATTATTAAATTTTTAAACTAAAAAAATTATATAAAAATTAACGAATCTAAATATTATATATCATAAAATATTTAAAAATAGTATTAAATACCATTTTAGATTAATTTATATTATATTTATGTAGATCAGAAATTTCAATATTAGTTTTTGGTGTAATCATGTATTTGTTTAAGGAGTGATTAACAAAGGTAATTAAAAGTATCAGTTTATGATATTTAAAATTAATAAATAATTTGTGTATTTTAAATGTAGAATGTAAGATATTATATATTGTTTATTTTATATTAAAAAATTATTTTCAATTTCTTATATTAACTCCTGTTGTTATGAGATTTTTAACAACGTATTTAATACTTATAGTATTGTGATTTACGAGAAATTAACATTAAACATGCATCAAAACAAGCTCGATGGCCCCGGTTTTTGTGTGAACCAAGGTGAAATGTTTGGGGCTTTTTTGTATACATTGAATGTCAGGAATTCGATCCTCGTACAAGAATAAGAATCTGCTATTTATAGTATTCTTTTTTGAGCTCGTACTTCAAGGCGTGTACGGCCACATTTATTGTAAAGAGTCTTTTTGAGGAGCGGTTAAGACAGTTGGGTCCCTTGAATGATGACATAACTTGTGGTGTATAAGAGTCTCACGTATGTGCCTCGTCACCTGCTTCGGTTATGGTGACCTCGATTTTGATCGGCAGGACGGTAGTGCGAGGATGACGTCGGTTGTAAGGATGTAAGTCGGTTGTCGCTGAATCAAGCCGGTAATCGGTTCAGGTTCAAACTGAGGTGCGATGAGTTATCATTGGTACGATTAACTAACCAGCGGCTTTGCTTAAATAACTTGGGTTATCAGTTCGGTTGTCAACACAGACCGTAAAAGTATATCAATATATTTTATACAATTTATCATGATAGAAACATGTAAATGTGATATTTTGTACTTAAGAAAATAGATCCCTATTCAAAGTTGATATATTTTATAATTTGTTTGACAATTACGTTCAATTACTTTCAGGTAACTGTATTTTATTTGTAATTTTTCATCCTTGAATTTATTTTGTTTAGATTTTGTTTTTGAAAGAATTTTGTTTTGTTAGAATCCTTTTATATTGAGATATTTAATTATGATTATAATTCATTGATATTTGTAATAGTTATTACAATTTTATCATTAAAAATAATATAAACTTAAAGATCTTTTAATCCCATTATTTTTTTTTTTACAAAATCATTCCTTCTATTATAATAGTATAGATATATAGATTATTTAATCACCTATAAATACTTATATATAATATCACATCTCTATTTGTTAACGAATTATTTTTGCGTAATAATTAGGCATGTTTTTAAAACAGTATGTTCGTTGAAAAGGTTGAAATTTTAAATAATTGCTGAAAAGAAAAAAGTTAAGAATGAGTTGAAAATTAAATTAGCTAGCCCAATGTTCAATTTTTTGTGTAATCGTGTATTTGTTTTATAAGTGATTAACAGAAAAACTAAAAAGAAAAATAAAAAATAAAAAACAAATATTTTGTGATTAAAAATTTAAAAATGATAATCTAATTATTTATAATCAAACTCCATTATTGAGAATTATTTATTTTAGAAACTGAAAAAAAAAATTATAATAATTAACAAATATAAATATTATTATCATAAAATATGAAAAAATAGTTACTGAATTCAGTTTCATATTTTATTTATATTATATTTCCGTACATCAGAAATCTCAATATTAGTTTTGGTGTAATCATATCTATATCTATATATATATTAAAAGTCAACCTATTTACCAAAAACAGTAGCAAAAAAAGTCAACACACATTTAATGCATACTTTATTTGGAAATTTTTTACTATATGCATTAAATGCTTGCATATTTACATTTACTATCCAAATATGATCTTAAAGATTTTTTCCTTAAATAATTTATGCAATGATTTTACTGATATCCATTATAATTAATATTTGTCGAGTAATATTTTTTAACCTTTATTTAATTATATAACACTAATATTTTTTTTAAAAAAATTAATATTATTTTTTTTTTAAAAGATAATGATCACATCATTAAATGATTTTATTGATGGTTAGATAATAAAATTATATTAGTTATTCTTTAAAATTTCGACATGTTATTTATTTGTATATTATTGTCAACTATGATAGTATTTTTATCACTTTTTTTGTTATGTTTAAAAAATGAACTTACTGTAAAATATTTTTTTATTACATAGTATGTTAAATAAACTGTAAAGCCTTAGGATGAAAATTAGAAAAAATCTCTTGATTATGTAAGGGACATTTTTTTTTAAAAAAAAAAAAAAGAATTATTATGAGAAAATTGAATTCTAAAAAACATGTGTGTATTTTTTAAACATTTATACTCAAAATTTTATTTTGAATTTCATTACATAAAGAAGACTACTTTTATAACTTTTATAAATAATAATAATTACATTATATGACTGTAAATTTTATAATAAAATAATAATTGAGTATTACATGGTGAACAATAATTAATAAATTTTTTTTTCTTATAACAATGAATAAATATGTATTCTAAAATCAAATAAATATTAGTATGACGTGTTAGCGGAATTATATATTAATTAACATGTTAATTTTTTGTTTTAAATAAACGCCACTTATTAAAAGATGTGAAATATGAATGATCCAAGCCTATTGTTTTTTTGTCTAGACGTACAAGTCCTATAGAAATAATTGATTTATTATATGTATCACGTGCATCGCACGGGGTATGTACTAGTATTTGTTTAAGGTGTGATTAACAAAGATAATCAAAAGAATCAGTTTATGATATTGACAATTAATACTTCAATTTTTTTATTATAAATATATTTTTTAGAACATAAGATATTTATGTATTATATATTTTACATTAACTCGGTAAATTTATATCGATATATTCTATATAATTCACCATGACAGAAACATATATAAAATGTGATATTTTGTAATAAAGAAAAGAACATCCCTATTCAAATTTGACATATCTTATAATTTACTTGACAATTGCGTTCATTTACTTTCAGTTAATTGTATTTTATTTGTTATTATTCATATTTAAATTTATTTTGTTTAGATTGTATTTCTGAAAGAATTTTGTAATTGTTAAAATCTTTTTATATTGAGATATTTAATCATGATTATAATTCATTTGTACTTAATAGTTATTACAGTTTTATCAATAAAAATAATATAAACAAAAAGACCTTTCGGTTCGTGCAGTTTCTTACAAAATCATTCCTTCTTCTTTTATAATAGTATAGATTATATTTAATAATCTATGAATACATATAAAATATCACATCTCTATTTGTCAACAAATTATTTCATAACATCACATCTCTATTTGTCAACAAATTATTTCGCGTAATAATTAGGCATGCTTTTAAACAGTATGTTTGTTGAAAAAGTTGAAATGATTAAAAATTGCTGAAAAGAAAGAAGTTAAGAATGAGTTAGAAAATAAAATTAGCCCACGGTCATTACCAAATCACCACCATATGCGCCTTGATGTGAGCAGAAATTTGGTGTGGTGTGAACATGCCTTATATATCTGTTATCGGCAAAGTCTCACTCACAAGTCACAACCTTTTGTTCACATGGGAATTTGTATGGCATACAGCATATCCTTTTTAGCTTTTATCCTTTTCTTTTTCATATAATATAGTATAGTATAATATAATAAAATATGTGAACTTTTATTGAACCACATTAATTACAAAATGCACCATACGTGTTCTACGAGCTAGGCAATAGCTTCCAACTCCATCCCTATGCCATCTCCAACTCGTATGGCCGTATCTCTACTTTAGTGCGGACTTTACTATACTCTAGAGTAGAGTTAAATATTCATCTCCAGTCATTATTTCTACATTTTTACTCTACATCGAATATAATATCTTTTATTCATTTTTATATCAAATAAATTTGTATATATAAGTATATTTAATCTTATATAAATATATGTTACCCAAATAATAAAAATATTATTTATTTATTTTTTATTTCAAATGAATTGGTATATATACTTATATTTAGTTTTATATAGAAAAGTTTTAATGTTATGTTGTTTTTATTTGTGTATTTATGATTTACATTGTAACCTTTTGATTTTAATGAAAGCTACCTGTTTGTGTTAAATTTTTATTCATATGGTACCATTTTAATATTAAAAAATTATAAAATAAAATTATAATGCATCAATAAAAAAGCAAAAAATTAGTTCTACATTGCACAAAGTTATATAACTAAAAAAATAAATTTACTAATACACATTATAAAAAAATTTATCAATAATATTACACAAAAAAAAAATAATAAGAATGTGGAGTTGTGCTACAGTGTTGTGCTACATTTTGTTCACAACTTTCATCTGGCGCAGAAATCTGGTGCAGCGCTGAACTTAGTTTTTGCGTTAAGCTAGTGTAATTCTCTTGAGAGATACAGTCACGCTGGAGTAATGCAAATGTTCCTCCAGATCATGTGAACCTTTATATTATTATTATTGTGTATATATTTTTCCCAATTTGGGAAACAACACGTAAGACCATACAAGATTTGAAAGCTCACAAGCTACTCAATACAAAGACTTACATATAATGTAGTAATTAGACTCATGAGCAATTACACAAATTTTTAATTCCCACTAAATTTGTTGCAAATCGCCAGTGCATTGCTAGTCGCCATGGACATGTTACCAATCCGCGCATCGATCAAGGGCTTGAGGTCACTGTCTAGCGCCTCGCTCGAAAAGCCATCCTTACACGTGCCCTCGTTAGTCAGCGCAGCACTAACCCAAGTCATAACATTACTCAAGCGCCAGGAAAACTCTCCCCTAGTCCAGGTCCGACCCAATTTCTTAAGCTCCACAATCGAGTCATTAAGTTGCCCCACAGTATTGCCCACCACCTCCAAGCAGTCCTTTAGGGCCGATTTCTCCTTTTGACTGAGCCCACTAGGGTACTTAGCGACCGTTTTCAGGAAAAATTGGGCGTCTCGGGCCCTTTTGGCACTAATGGATAGGGCCATCATGGCTAGCAGTCTAGGGCTTTCCTTAACCTTCCCAGCATAGGGTGCTAGCGAGCTCACACACGCGGAATAGTAAAAGGAGTCCCGGCATGAGCTTCTTATGAAATCTATTGGGTTGCCGGTGGCCGAGGCGCTTAGAGCGTATAGGAAAGAGATTAATATGATCAATGACAAATTTTGAGTAGTTTGTATTGCCATTAATTTTTTTTTTTCCAAGATTTTTCTTTAGGGTTTGGAGAGTGTGAATGAGAGAGAGCTATGGTGTGGGAATGACTAAAGAGGTGAGGCTCAAGAACCCTATATGTATGTATTTATAAAGGGCAAAATGAACAATTCATCTCATTTGCAAAAGGGGTCCACTAGATGACATTGATTTGCTACCTGTGTGCCCGTGACTGGATATCAATGGACCATTTCTAGTTGGAAAACGCCAAAACCAAGGTCCAACATGTCTTGCATAAATTACGGTTCAATTCCCACATTATTAATTAATTAGGTGATTTATTTATTTTTTTAAATGAAAATGGATAATAATTTGTCTTTGTTTATCCATTTATGGTCAAATTTTTGCTTTCTTGGTTTTGTGGGAATATTACAAAAGTGGATTTTAGTAACATGATTTGATCAATTTCCAGCTCTTTTGAGTCGAGAATTAAACAAGGCGTGCAATTTTAACAAAACAAATATTTGTCGACATTGCTAATTTAGCACATCTCGTGTAAGCACGTTATATGTAGAGACTTTGACTTTTAGGTACCACCAATGACTAAACACAACTTGAAAAATAAGAACATCTACAATACATTAGATATAGTCTTGCCTACGTAGCATGTAAATAAATTCAAGCCTTATATGACATGGATAAAACTATGTAAAATTAATAAAATCTACTCCAACGCAAAGAGACTAAGTCTCTACTTGGGTCTAAAATAGACTTAAGGGTAGATCGGGGGATAATTTCATAATTGGTCCTATAATTTGGTCACAGCCCAAAAAACCACCCATATTGACCACTTTCAAAATTGGTCCTATAATTTCAGAATTTAATCAAATTTGGTCCTTTTTTAGTCAGATTTGGTCCCTTTTTAATCACGGTTTAATCCATGTTCCGGATAAAAAGGACCGAATTTGATTAAATTTTGAAATTATAGGACTAATTTTGAAAGTGGTCAATATAGGGGTGGTTTTTTGGACTGTGGCCAAATTATAGAAATAATTTTGAAATTATGCCGGGTAGATCGGGTCTCTTTTTCTGGATGCCACATCAGCAGGACTCAGTCTACTTTTGTTTGCATTGGAGAATAAATTTTTTAGACTATGTCTATTTCTTATGTGGCATACAATTTTTTGTGACTGAACCTACATCATTGTGGATGCTAGACCTCATTAATTTATTGGTGACTCGTGTTCTTGAGTCACCAGCTACAAGACTAAAATAAAAAATATCATCATTTTTCTCGCAATTCAGGTCACAATGTGACTGTAGACATTGGAATTTTAATATTTTATTAATTAATATCTTTATTTATTTTAAGAAAAAAAATCCATGATAAATAAGATATTTAATTAATAAAATTATTATTTTTTGCCCACCAAGTCAAATATTAGGATAAGGAAAGAGATTATATCAAATCTTAGGATAAAAAAGAGATCCAATCAAATCAAGAAGGACCAATCTAATTGATGTCTTCTTTGCAAGACTCTCTTCCCTACACCTATAAATAGGGTCTTCCTCAAGGTAAAAAATGACACCTCATAAATCAACACCGCTTGAATCAAAGTCTCAAAAACTCTCTTGAAGATTTGAAGAATTTCTCGAAGATCCAGGACATTCAAGAGATCGGCGTTGAAGAATCCAGACTCCTAGCTTCAATGGAGAAGAAGACCAAGTAGAAGAAAAAAAGGCGACGACTCTTCCCTAAGAAGTAAAGAGACGACTGCTACTCCTCTGAAATCAATCCAAGAATATCAACAACGTTCAAGCGACATTCAAGTCGCGTTCGTTTAGAAGTTCAATCAACATAGCGTTTGATCCGAGAAAAATCTATTAAGCCCTCAAGTCAACGTTATTCAAATCAAAATTCGTCTTTCAAGAAGATCACAAAATCAAGTCCTCCAAGAAGTCTTCTTCAATCATGCCTAACATTTAATACGGGAATAAGTCATTCGACTCCCAAATTAATGTTAGAGAAATTCAACCGTCAATCCATCTTTCAAGATCTCAAACTAATATTCATGAAGAGAAGAATCAGAGGAATAATAGAGATTGTAACCTGTAATATCATTTGATCGAAATAAATCAAGTTGTACAAAAGTTTATGTTTGCCAAAAAATTTGTTGTTACAAATTTGGCAAGCCCAGTGACACATTCTCTACCTCTCATCTCTTCTCTTCAAATCAAGTTCGAAGATCCTTGAAGATGCACGAAGACCTCTTTGAAGGCTATGTACAAGAAGACAACTAAGGATGATGTCTCTTCAAGTCATGAAACCTTCATTCGAATGGAGGAGAAACAAAACCAGTCTTCCATATACTTCTGAAATTCCATGGGGTGCAATTTATATGAAGAGCTCCACCAAATCATTGATGCTCCTTGTTATGAGCTTAAACTATCTAGATATTCAAACGCTCCTTGATATGAGCTTAAACTATCTGCATATGCTCCTTGATATGAGCGTAAACTATCTACATATACTCCTTGGTATGAGTTTAAACTATCTACATATTCAAGTGCTCCTTGATATGAGCTTAAACTGTCCACATATGCTCCTTGATATGAGCCTAAACTATCTATGTGGCTCCTTGACACGAGCATAAAATGTCTTCATATCAAGATCTCCTTGACACGAGAATAAAAGGTCTACATATCAAACTTGAAGGCTCCTTGACACGAGCATAAAATGTCTACATATCAAGATCTCCTTGACACGAGAATAAAAGGTCTACATATGAAATTTGAAGGCTCCTTGACATGAGCATAAAATTTCTATAAATTTGAAGGCTCCTTGATACGAGCATAAAATGTCTACAAATTTGAAGACTTCTTGATACGAGTATAAACTATTTGTCAAATCAAATCAAGACTCCTTGTTACGAGTTTAAACTAACTACAAATCATGTCAAATGAAGAACTCATGATACGAGTATAAAGTATATGTCAAGTCAAATCAAGACTCCTTGATACGAGTATAAATTATCTGTCAAATCAAATCAACACTCTTTGATACCAGTATAAACTATCTTTCAAATCAAATCAAGACTCTTTGATACGAGTTTAAACTATTTACAATTTCAAGTCGAAAACTCATAGATAAGAGTTTAAATTATCTAGATGTCCAAACCAAATGCAAATTTTGAGACTCATTGTAGCGCCCCATTTGTTCCAGATTATTTTGAGATTATTATTTATTTATTTTATTCAGATTACTTATTTTAGGCTCGATTATTTAATTTTTACCTGATTATATGCTCGTATTTGCCTAAGTGTATTATTATCGAGCCGAATTAATTTTCGAACCGAGCATCAAACCGAGTCGAGCCTTTATTTTAATTATCGACCGCACGCCAAACCGAGCCCTTCTCGACTACGCGACATCCAGCAGCCCGCAACTGCACGACACGCTGCCCGCGCCCGTCGCTCGAACGACCCGCCCGTCGACCTCTCTTCTCTTTTGCGTGCATGGGCATGACCTTTGAAATTTGAAATGTAACATCTAGATTCTTAAAAATCGGATTTTATTTCACATGTTAGCTCCATATTATTAGCATGATAAATTCTTGAGGGGGTTACATTTGAATTAACTTTTAAAATGGGAGAAGTCACCCTCTTCTTCTTCATTTTCTCTCTCATTTGATTTCTTTCCTCTCCTCATCTTCTTTCACTTAGAATTTTTCAGAATTCCCCTAGCTTTTCCTCTATTTTGCTTGACCGAGAATTTCACCAAAACTCGTCGCACGTCCCTAGTCCCGAGCCCGTGATCAATCACACGCAACAGAGCGCACCATCGCAAGTCGAGCCCGCGCATGACCCCTCGACGATCATCAACTGACCTGTTATCATTTAGTGTGGTTCCTCACCTCCCACGAGCAATGATTGACCAAGAGACGTCTCACTCACGTGCGAGCTGCCTTCAACGTCGAGCACGTTCACGCGGACGATTTCCCCACCCGGGACCGAACCGTTCATCCTTCCCATTTGGTGTTTGGTAATTTTTACTAAACACCTATTTTATTATGTCTTTATATGTATAATTGTTTATTATATGATTTTCATGATTATTATTAATTTATGTGTAAGTATTGATATTATATGTTTTGTAGAAATTTTGATCTTAGGGTTTAAATTTGAAAACCTTAGCATCTGAATGTATCTCGTGGATATTTCTTGGATTATGGAACAATTTGAAGTCCTGGTCAGAATGGCACTGGCCTTGTGTAATTTAGATTTGTATTTTCTGAGTTATGTATTTTTTAAGTCGGTGTCCTTTCTAAAAATGGTTAAATGCATGATAAATTGTAGTGATCCAAAAATTCTGAAATTTTAATATGTTGCTTCTGTGATGTATATTGACTTCGTCATTAAATTTTACAATTTTTGGAGTTGAATTGCTAGGGTAAATAATGAAAGGTTTATTTCTGCAGAATATTTGATAAATCATATAAAATTAGCTTTTTATTATAAATGCATGAAACTTGGTTGTTGTGCTTATTTTATGTGATATTTATTACAGTAAAAATATTAGAAAAGTTTGGATTCAATAGGTTGTGTGCTTGTTAAGATCGGGTTTTTGGCTGAATCTCGTAATATTATTTCATAAATCACATGTTCAGTGTATGTACTTGATATATTTACCTGATAATCCCAGCATGTTTTAATTTATAGCATAAAATTTGTAGGCCCTGAATCACATTTTTTGTCCGTCAATAAATTCGTGATCGTTTTTGCTGTCAAATCGTTTTATTTTTATAAAATCACACATTTTTATTTTAAGGTTGAAACTTGGTGAATTGTCTTTACTCAGCATTTAATATCATGTGTTAAAATGTTAGATTAATATTCGTTAGTATAGCTGATCATCTTGATAACGTGCTCTATTTGTCATAATTTCTCAAATATTGTTCATATTGTTCAAGTGTGAAATTTTGTGTAAAATTTCTTATATGATGTTCTTTAGTGCTAAATGTTATGTATTTAAATT